GGGATTTGCCGGTGAGTTTTCTTGACTCGTTAGTTTGAATTTTGTTGTGACGATGTTACCTCGCTCTGATTATGTCCGTCATATGAAGGACGAAAGCTTAGCACCTTTTCACCGAACTCGAAAGAGATTGCCTCAGAAACAGTGCCAGCATGAATCTTCCAGTAAAACCAATCGGCAGCTGGTCAAGAGGAATCCGCTGTCGTCTTCTGGTGGAACTGACCTTCGAATCTCTTCACCCAACACCTTCACTCGAAATGGAAGTAAGCTCAACAATTATGGAACAAGAGATTCCTCGAAACCCAACTTTTCTTCATTGAGGGAATCCCTCTAGTCCATGCAACAAACCCCGACAAGAGGTCTCTACCTCTTGTACATCACAGATGGCAAATGAGTCTTTTTCTGGTGAGTCCGTTGCGTAAGCAAAGAACGACAGTATCCCCGGCCCACGGAGACTTGCAAAGGGGTGTGTTTACGGAAACACAGCTTCCCACAGAAGTACAAAGAGCCAGGCCAACAGGCCATGGGGCCGGACTTGATGGTCATTCCGATTGGGTCAAGGGGGAGAGTGAATGTGGAGGAAAGGACACATGGTCCGGTTCCCAACGTAGCCTGCCGAATAGGCACATATCTTCTTCCTTTGGCCATCCTGATCGAGAGGCAACACGTTTCGGCATCTCGGCCTCATGCAAGGGGGCAGAGGGGAGGACATTTCTTTGCATGGAACCCTTTTGCTGGCTTCCCCATTTCCACCCCATGACCCAATTGGGACGTATCCGTGACACGAGAAAGCCAGCCTCCAAGTCCCCCTCAAAGTCAGCAGGACAGGAGAAAATGATTCCTTCAAGAAAATAAAAGTAAATAAACACGAGTTTTCAACTTTCTGTAGATCGGCTAAGTTCGATTGCTATGGCAACTACTGGGTGAGAAGCCTCGGTGGCTTGGTTTCGTTTGGGATCTTTCTTCTACCACTTCAATACAAAACAAAGTCAACGCGTTTATTGTGTTTACTGTCAACTTTACAGAAGTGACCAGCTCTGTTTTGAGAATACTGAAACACCTCGTGG